AGGAAGTCTTAGAGTTTGCAGAAGAGACATCCTGACTATACCTCTTTCTTCCAGAGGGGCTCTTCATTCCAGGAATGAAAATCCTCCTAGTTTGTTCTTTCACATAGTGAGATGGCTTCTTGCACTGCTCCAGCTGGAATAAAAACTCTATTCAGGAATATAAAGCACTCCACAGCTATAAGAAAGACTATGTTTTCTAATTGCAGAGAAGTTACTATTTGAGACTCTTAGGTAACATAGGATGAGAACTGCATTTATTTCTCTAAATCTGCAGTCTCCTGTAACACCCATCTCAACCCCCCTCATCACTGCCAGCCATGATTCTACGCATTAGGATTTGCTCTGTAGTGTCTGAACTTTTCACTAAAACTTAATGATGCGCGTTGATGAATAAACCTTTAATCTTCTTTAACACTGACACTTGTACGGCGCTGTCTCTGGCCTGGAATAGTCTGAGACACCCCTCATGGGCAAGATTTTCAAGGGTCACTCTAAAGCTGGTGTTCTGACTGGTGTGTTCATGGTACATTCTCATCCAGTCAGGAAGCAGGTCCATGTGTAACAGTGAGCTAAGTAACACTGAAAAGTTCACTGGTTTGGTGATCGTGATGCCAACAGGATCTTGTGAGCAGTACTTATGTGTTGCGCACTCCCAGAGACTGTTCCAGTTCCTGCCGGCGCTGTTGGATCTGAAAGAAAAAAAGAAACTGTACAGTTCAGCAGATTCAATTGTTCAGTGGCAGGAAGATTAATTTATAAGCCAGTGGTATGGATAATTCCTTCATACCTTGCAGTAGAAATATCTGCTCACAGCCTCTTGAGACCATGGCTCATGATAAAATTCAGCTCTGCGTTCTTCCTCTGGGTTTCCAACTACATCAGTCATCACCTGTGACAAAAATAAAAACATTTTTCACTACAGCTCTTCTTCCAAGTAGAGGATAATTCGGATTTACCTAGAGTCCAAATTTATCTACATTACTACATTAAAAATGTTCAGGACTGTTCTCTAAGCCCAAGGCAAATGGACAACGAATGGTGTGTGTACTTGTTACCAAAACAAAATGATAGCATACAAGCTGTGAACAGATCCTAACCTCTGCTCCTCAGCTCTGCCAAGAAATAATTGTGGAGACCAGTAGCTGCCCAGGCTAAGTGCCACCATCTCTAACAATTTAATGGCGTGGACAGTTCCAGTGCCCAGGAAAAGTTCCCCAGCACTGTATATTTTATTAGCCTACATATCCAAAGAACCTCAGTAGTCACCTGTACATAGCATAACAGCCTGAAATTGTTAAGGTATTCACATCAGATTGAAGCACAACTCTATACCAGTGCTGGTCTTATCTCAAAGCATATCTTATCTTGATTTCAAGGAAAGTTCTGATGGGGAAAGCACTAAGGAAAAATAATGCTATTGAAATGGAAGGAACAGAAAACCCTAGTAATTCCAAAATGGCCAAAGTCCTGAGATGATTTTTCAGTCTCTACACAACTGCCAAGAAAGCAAAATCTGAAAAAAAACCCTACAAGTTGTTTAAGGAATTAGTGGATGGGACCACCTGGAAAACTTCCCTTAGGGACAAATAGGCTGAAGAGAGCTGGCAGCTCTTTAAGGACATCTTTCCTAGAGCTCTAAATTCCCATGTTTAAGAAACTGGGCAAGGAAGGCAAGAGACCAGCATGGCTCAGTAAGGACCTCCTGGTCAAACTAAACTGTAAGAAGGGAATGCACAGGCAGTGGAACCAGGGACATATATCTTGGGAAGAATAAAGAGATGCTGCCCGGATATGTAGGGATGCAGGAAAGCTAAGGCACAGCTGGAGCTAAATTTGGCAAGGGATATGAAGAATAATAATGACTTTTACAGGTATATTGGCCAGAAAAGGAAGATTAAAGAAAATGTAAGACACCCTGGGTAAATAAGACAGTAGAACTGGTGACAATCAATATGGAGAAGGCTAAGTTAATCAACAATTTTTTTGCCTCAGTTTTCAATGGTAATCTCTTTTTCCACATCTCTCAAGCCCCTGAACCTCAAGGGGGAAAGAATTCTTTCCCATCATAGAAGAAGATCAAGTTTGAGACCATCTGAGGAACCTGATCATACACAAGTCCATGGGACCTGACAAAATGCACGCCAGGGTCCTGAGGGAACTGTCTGATCTAGTCACTAAGCTGCTCTGCAACATATTTGAAATGTCATGCCAGTCAGCTGAAGTCCACAGCGACTGGAAAAGGGAAACATCACATGCATTTTTCAAAATGGTAAAAAGGAGAACCCTGGAAACTACTGACCAGTCAGCCTCACCTCTGCGCCCAGTAAGATCATGAAACAGATCTACAACGAAGTGGCCTTCTACGATGGAGTAACTGCATTGGTGGATAAGGGAAGAGTAACTGATGTCATCCCCTGGGTCAGCGCAATCCTCAGTATCAATACAGACAGAAGGATAAATGGATTGAGAGCAGCCTTGCAGAGAAGGATTCGGGAATACTGGTGGACAAAAAATTAGATATAATTGGCAATGTGTGCTTGCAGCCCAGAAAGCCAACCATATCCTGGGCTGCATCAAAAGAAGCGTGGCCAGCAGGTCGAGGGAGAGGATTGTGCCTCTCTGCTCTCCTGAGACCCCACCTGGAGCACTGCACCCAGCTGTGGGGTCCACAGTACAAGAAAGTCATCGTCCTGTTGGAGCAGGTCCAGAGTAAGACACAAAAATGGTTAGGGGGCTGTTAACACCTCTCCTATGAAGAGAAGATAAGACAATTGGGGTTGTTCAGCCTGAAGAACAGAAGGCTCCAGGGAGACTTCATTGTGGCCTTTCAATACTTAAAGGTGGCCCATAAGAAAGATGGAGAGAGGCTTTTTGCCAATGCCTGTAGTGACATGACATGGGGCAATCATTTTGAACTGAAAGAAGACAGGTTTAGATTAGATATAAAGAAGACTTTTTTTACAATGAGGGTGGTGAGACAGTGTAGTGGGTTGTCCAAGAGAAGCTGTGGATTTCTCATCCCTGAAAGTGTTCAAGATCAGTCTGGATGGGACTTGGAGCAACCTGATCTAGTTGAAGAAGTCCCTGCCCACGGCAGGGGGGTCAGACTAGATGATCTTTGAAGGTCCCTTCCAACCCAAACCATTCTATGATTCTACACAAAAATAATATTCTGATGACTAAGTCTCCAGCATCACAGAATCAAGGGTAAATATAAAATTATTAGCATCTTTTACAGAGTAGTATTGTGCAATCTCAATTCTGATGCCAGCGGGGTAGAACATTATAGGAAAGGCCCTTATGGGACTGGTTGTCAGTCAGGGAGAATAGTGAACAATTGTTCTATGTATGCAGCTAATGGAGCTCCAGAACACCTTCCAGTGGAACTGTCTTTCCTGCATACTGTCTGCTCTGGGACTGCAGTATTCCACTTATTGTCTGTCTTCCACCAATTTTCCATCCTAGATGTTTTAGCTATACTCTATATATATTTAGATAAAATTCTTACATTCTGGTTCTACTATTCATTCTTCAAACCTTAGCTCACCTTAAGATCCCTACTTTGGGACCGGAGAAGGTCTTGGATGTATCCTTTGGGATCTTTGGAGAAACTCAGCATGAAATCACGTTGTATTTTTAACTGATTTATGGATTCGATTGTCTCGTGAATCTAACAGAAAAAAAACAAAGCAGGTGTTACTCAATTCCTCCTATGCTCCAGTTACCCTGAGCTCAGCGCTATTAGCATCTTTGTAATCCCTGTTATTACAAAGGTGACAATTCTACACCGCAGACACGCGCAGGTTCTCATGGCTTTTTCCCTTCAAAGAGGAAGTTAACTGCAATCCTGCAATTACATTTTGGTTTCACTTGTACTTCTGCAATGCAAGTATGTACAGGAATCTTCTTCACTTAGGGCATTGAACTGCTGGATGGTGTGCTATAGACAGTGCTGAAGGCTAAGCCATGTCACTGCAAAAGTGTAACACTTCCTGTGTATAATCAGTGTTTCTGCCAGGTCTGGGACTTTTCAGGAAAGGTGCTATATAAATATGTCTTTAAACAGCGCCCAATGCAAGAAAGCAGTTATTCCCCTGGTTAAGGATCATCAATCTTCAATACCCCGCTGTGACCCTTAAAATTTCTAGTGACTGCCTGATCAAGTCCATGCTAAATATAAATATATGAGCATAATAGCTATGACTTCTAGACTTTTTCTTACAAGAAAGCCTGTTAAAGTCACAATGGCTGGAAAAAAAGGAGTGTGAACAATCAGAAATCAGGACTATAGAAGGTTTATAGAAAATGAGTCATATTTTCAGAAATATTAATAAAGAAATGAGCATTAATCAACAGGGAAGAATAAAGATTCCAAAGAAAAGCCAAGGTCCTACAATCATCCTGGATAACAAAATCGAGAAGGATCAATGGGAGGACAGCTTATTAACCATTTTCACATGCACACAGAGAAAAGCAAACTTTTGCTTCCCTGCTCCACTAAAATTCTAGTTTGAGACTGTAAACCTACCTTGTTTAATTCCATGTATACATCTATTTTGCCAAAACAGCTAATGTGCCCAGGCACATGGGAGAAAATAATCCTCTCCTGATCTGGCTATGTCATTAAGGCCACTAGTGTAGGCACAACTATATGGTATATTAATAGAGGAGAGCTGCTGTCAACTTCAAATCATTCCTTATTTGGGAAAACGATGCAGCCGTGCTGGAGACAAATCTGTCAGCGTGCACCGGGTTTCCACTAGAGGACTCTGTGGCAGCACAGCAATAAATGGTACAGATGATGAGAATGCAGCAATGCCTATTTACCCAGAAGTGACTTCAGTAACTTCACTAATCACAGCTTGCCCTCTGCTGTAGCAAATGCTCAGAAAAAGAGGTGACACAGACACGGAAAAAGGTGAGCTGGACTAGAAACAGAATAATCCTATGCATGCTGTATGCAACCCTATATAGGCTGGGAACCAACTGGCTGAGTAGCTGCCGGGATGAAAAGGACCTTTCTCAAGAGCCGTAAAACTAAAGATGCTGCAACAGTCACCAGAATCCATAGGATTGCTAGTGTCCAAACCCCCTTTAAAGCTGCATGAAGACCAGAGTTTAACACATTTGTTTGTATTAGAGGTAAACGTAGAAACTGAGCCTGACTGTACATCACATAAATCTTCCTGGTCCACGATGTCACGCCTCTTCTTCTTCTTCCCTTCCTCTGAGAAGCCACTTTTGTTTATCCTGTACCAAGCCAAATCAGCCATTTACACACGTGCCAAAAGCTGGCTAACAGTCCCCAGGACATGAACCCCTAATACAGTCTGCAGAGCTCACCACTGCTGTGAGATAGATACTATTATTTGAAGTGCACATGATCCTCTTTCAATAACACTGAAAACAAATCTGACGAACTGTCCCAAGTGATTTTTCTGCCATGCATTTTCAACATTTGCACCTCCTGCAGAGAGCTGTTCTGCAACTGTCCATGCATACAATATGGAGTATGAGATTCTCTTAGCTTTGCCTTATAGCAATTTAGCAAGATACCATGAGCTCTCAAAAAAAAGTTATACTGAAACAGTTCAGACAATTCTTGAATGCCAGGGGACTCATTATACTACCTGTGAAACTCTGCTTCTATCACCCCCAACAGCTGCATCAGGCCCTGGATCAAATCCTAAGTGGGAATGCCACTCACCCCTCTGTATTCCCATTGCATGTGGCTGATTCATCCCTTGAAAGCACATTCAATTGAGAAGTCTCTGTCTCACAACATTACAGTCTTCGATGTGTGACACCAAACCCCCATGAAGGTACACAATGAGTACATATGCCATATGTTACTTTACTCCTGGGCTAGTACCTTGTTGTCCAATGCTGTAATTTCCTGTTGGTTAGCTGTTGAGAGAAGAAAACTACTCATCTGTCCCTTTAATGGGTCTTCAACTTCTACATCTATGTCATAACAAGCCGTCTTCTTCTGATCATTGGGGTCAACACTATGGAGTATAAAACAGAAGATCATGAGAACTGTTAGAATCTGTTATAATGAATCAGAATAAATATCCAGCCAGCCCAGTATATGCTTTTTGATAAAGTCTGTTGCAGATGCTGTGAGAAGAGTTTAAGAACCGGGTATCTTTATATATTTGTATATCCTTCTTATATCCTCTCATCTTTCAGCAGTCAGAATTCAGAGACTTTTGAGCTGGAGGTTTTGTCCTGACCATCAACTTTAATAGCTACTAATGGACACAGTCTTCATTAAGTTTTCTCACTTTTACTCTTCTGATTTTCTTCCCCCATCCTGCTGCAGGGGAGGGAGCAAGCAGCTGTGCGATGTTTAGTTGCTGGCTGGGGTTAAACCATGACAAGCAGTTGGCAAATTGTTTCAGTTGTTGACTACATTCACCCTTAAAAACGTAATGCAGGGGGGCAGGGCAGAGGGTCTGTGAGAGTCTGTTTAAAGCTCAACGGGACCAGGCCCCTAAGCATCCCGATACAATTAGAACCTGCTTTGAGTTGGGAGGGGGGAGCTCTAGATGACCACCAGTGATCTCTTCACCTGTACATCACTCTGTGAGTTTATGAGTCTAAAAATCACTTCCTTTAAATTCAGAGCCAGACTCCCAGATTTATTTTAGTTTAGCTTGAGATTATAAAGACTTTTGCAAAAGTATTCCCTATTCTCAGGAAATGAATACTGCCCCTTTCCACAGCATTCTGTCATTGCAGTGTCATGCTGCTGGGTGCTGTGTGGTGCACACGGTGTGTCAGAGAATGCTACTATACATAAGGTCCTGCTATTTAGTTTGCATCTAAAGGAAAATACGCTGCCTCCAGAACCTCTTTGCCATCTCTCTGCCCCTGGAAACATAACCACCAGTTCCTTGTCATTTTTCTCCAAGACAACGACTATGTATCCCTGAGGACCTCAGGTTTTTTTGGTCCATCAAACAGGTCACTGAGTTGTCTTCAATGACAGCATATACACAACTATCAATCTCCATGGTAGTCAAGCTGCTTTTTGATTACTGTTTTATATATTCAAATTAATCAAAAATCAAATTTTATTTTGATAGTCTATGTAATATTTAAGCTTCTTATCACAAATTTAAAATAAAGAACCCAATTTTAAGCATATTCAGAAATATTTGCTGTCAATATTCTGTAGGAAATCAAATCACTGCGCTTAATTAGCAATAACGTGTAAACGCCCAGAATCAGAGTTTTGACCCAGACCAAAAGGAACTTGGGAAAGACTGAAATATTTTAACAGCAAAGTTGCAATCTCCAAAAGTTTCTTTATCCCCCTCCCCGCCCCCCACACAGTTGTCACTTATATGGAATGTGCTGGAAGTGCCCTAGATAGCCAAAGGTTGTATTTCAGATACTATGCCAGAAATACATCTGTTTTGACAAGGATGCCAGAAGCTCAGTATCTTGGTCACAAAGGCCTTCTCTGAATCTAGGCATTCTTTATTGTAAATCTCTTGAGATCTCTGACTAGTTGGCATTCTTAGAATAAGACTAACACCCAAACAGCTGACTCCAGTCCCCACAAAGCACGCATGGACTGGCCACTGTGTTTGAAACTATAATACTGTTGTACCTTTTACCTCATAACACAGTGATTAGAATGATTGCCCACAATGTACAATATCTTACTTCCATTTCTTTTTTAACCCTCTAAGTGTATTCAAACTCTTGCTCCTCTCCCCTCAGGAAAGAAACCTGACCAACTCTCTCAATGGTATTCTAGCAGGGATAAAAATGCTAAGAAGGTTTTGCATGCTCCTAAAGAATTGGTGTCATTCTGTTGAAAATAACTCAGAATTATATAGACCAGAATGACACAGGGAATGAACAAAGAACAAAATCCAAGGTACTCACTTGGAAGTTCTAAAAACTAGATTCTGGTCCCTACTACTGTAGCTGTTTCTGTATTTTATACAGTGAGTGTTTTGCACATGGCAGTGCCGAGCTGACTCACCAGCTTACCTGATGATATGGTTTATCACTATAGGGTCTGGTGGCAGCAGCAGGTTAGTAAGTCTCTGAGGAATTTCAGAAAACTTTAGCCGTGGACAGTCAAAGATCTGGAATATAATAAAGCATGTTATCCTTGTCCAAAACCTAACTTGCAATTAAATGAGAAAGTAAGAAATCAACAGTTCAAAAGTAAGGTGATTTTGAAAGCTATAATTCTGCCTTCTTGCATGGAATACATTTTTGATCACTTCTGTCCCTGCAAATTGCTGCTGTACTTACAATCTGGGCTCGCTGACAGCTACATCAGATGATGACAATTTCAGGTTTCCCACACTTTTGTTTAGCTGCTGAAGGGCACAGGCCACTTTAATGGGACATTAGGATCAATTGTATCATCGATGGCAGAGAACCAAACACTTCCTCTCTCATTAAGGGTTTGTAGCAGCATATTGTAAGGAAAACAATTTTCTTTTTTTTACCAGAGGAAACCTGAAAATAGTTTGCTTTTTTTTCCAAGGCATGTTTCTTGCAACACTTTGTGCTAAAGAAAAATACAATAAAACATTTTTTGGATTTTAAAAAAATTGGCTTTTTTTTTTTTTTTTTTAAGATTGAGGGGAAAAAAAAGTCAACATGGTTTTACTTATTTTTAAACCTAAACAACCTCTTGGAATGGATCCACTCCTTTCCAATCAACATCTCATCACTACCTTCTTTTTACTATGGACCAGAAGCTAAATATGTATTGAATTCATGAGGAAAAAAAAATCTTTTGAAAAGGATCAAAATCTGTAGTTTTTTGAAATTTTCTGTGAGTAATTGCAGTGTGTTGCCATGAATCTAGAACCACTCCTTACACCTGGAGTTTTCAGAAATATAATTATTACAGCCTTGTTTTTTTCTACTGGGATTTTTAATGCTCTGAACAGGTGAACAGGCTTTTCTCTAAAGGTATTGCATTTAAACTGACTTTAAAAATGCCCCAAACTATTTTAATATTTGCGTTAAAACATGCAGTTACATGAAGGCAATTTGTAAAAATGTTGAGGCCTACGCAAATGCTCCTTAGGGAAACTATTTCCACCTGATAGAAGAGAGATACTACTTGTAGTATTCTATCTATAAAGAGAAATATGCTTTGTAGCTCTAGAGACAAAAGATGCAGGCAGAGTTGAAAAAATGGACTATCAGGTTGTAGAATGGGTGTACAAAGTCAGACTATTCAACTACGATGCTGTGGCACCTCAAACAGAGAATCTTCTGAAATCCACCATCTTCTGGAGCGAGGTATTTTGGCAGCAGAAATAACTAGAATCCAGCTCTGGCTTTTAAAATACCTTTGGACCTTTTTTCTTGCTTTTGCTTGTAACACAGTGGATTTCAAATCTCCTAGCTGACGTAAACAGTGTTCTGAAATAGAAAAGGATCCTTCTTCATCAACTCTAAAATCTGTCTAATTTGCTGGACTTACCCACATCCAGGAATTCAGCCAGCTAGTTTCTAAAGAGCAAGGAAATAACAAAATCTACCAAGTCTGCAACTCACTTTTTATTTCAGTTCTGAATTCTGACATTTGATAGAGATGACTGTGGAATTCCCACTCAAATTCAGTGATAATTTTTTAGTCTGTACGGTACTGTGTCATTAGATACAATCACAAGCATACCAGGATTTAGGAAAGCTGGCACACCAAATGAGAAGACCGGTATCTAATGTGATACCAGTCTGGGTGAACCTGCTTTGGCAGGGGGGTTGGACTAGATGATCTCCAGAGGTCCCCTCCAACCCCCACCATTCTGTGATCCTATGATTCTGTAAAAGGCGATGCTAGAGACACTGATATGTTATATACTGCTCCCCTAAGCTATCCGCACATTTCCAGCTATGACCATGATTTTTGCCTGGAGTTACATGCTTAAAACTAGGTAGTCTACAGAAATATCAGACTGGAAAGGATTCCTTACCCAGCTCCTTTACCTTCTATATCTCAATCTTAAAATTATTAGGGTGAAAACAAAATTTAAAAAAACCTAATCATGAAATGTTTCATTTGATTCAATGGGATTATTTTCCCTAAGTACTAACATCAGTTTTGAAAGCAAGACTAACTACTTAGGACAATTTTGCCAGAGACCTAAGGAAAACAGAAACACTCAAATCAATCCCATTTATGATTTATATCTATGCAAGCACTGCATTCTTATGAAACTATTCCAGATTAGCTAGCTCTTGCAGAGAGTGAGGTTCAGTCTCCTAGAAAAGGAATCCACTCCTGAACTCTCTCATCTCACTAACCATTTGGGGATGGGGAGCCAATTATCAGGTCTGATGGTATTCCTGAAGAGTTCTTACACAAAGGAGACCTACGAGCTAATAAGCCTCTGATGAGACATACAAAGAGAAGATGACTCCAAAAAGTTCTTATTCTAGCAAAGTTCTTCAGCTGAAAACTAAAATAAAAGTGAGAAGGCCCGTCTGCTTACCTGTGATGGTTTAGGCTGGGATACAGTTATTTTTCTTTTTATAGCAGCTAGCATAGGGCTATGGTTTGCATTTGTGCTGAAAACAGTGTTGATAATGAAGAGGCATTTTCATTATCACTGAGCATCGCTTACACAAAATCAAGGCCTTTTCTGCTTCTCACACCACCCCACCAGTGAGTAGGCTGGAGGTGCACAAGGAGTTGGGAGGGGACACAGCTGGGACAGCTGGCCCCAAATGATCAAAGAGATATTAAATACTGTATGACATCATGCTCAGCATATAAAGCTGGGGGAAGAAGAAGGAAGCAGAGGACAGCTGTGGATACTAATGGAAAAATGTAAGAATGGGAGAACATATACTGGTCCTTCCCAAAAAACACCCTCCCAATCTCCACAGCTTTGAAATTACCTTGCATTTATAACAGCCCAAGAGTTTTTGTCCATTGGTTTGTCACTTTTGGAATCTCTATACACTTTTAATATTGGTAATGTCTTATCATAAGGAGTTCTGAAATTTAGCTATGCTTGATTCCTTTTCTTTGTTTTTAATTTGCTATCTGCTTCCAACTATTTACCAAAATAAACAACAGTTACTCCTTGTTCACCTTTTCCATTCTGCTCATGGTTTTTCAAATCTTTTTCACTTCCCCTTTTCCATTTCCTTTTTGGGCTGGCACAAACAAAATTTAGTCTAAACTGGTTATAAATAAATAGAGAGTGGAAATCTAATCATCTAAGCAACAGAGCGAACAGCTTTGTAATTTTGCCAAAAACTCTTATGCAGTTTTAAGATGGGATTTTCACTATATATGAAAAAGACTGCATAGTGTAGCTGTCAAAAAAAAAAAAAGAAAAAAAAAAAGAAAAAAAACCCCACCCAAACAAGAGAGTCACTATATAATCCAGATCACTTTGGTTCTATATTCATAAAAATACCCATGAATCTCACAATTATTTTGTTGTATTTTGTATTTTCAAATATGGAAAAATCCAGTGCTGCCTTTAAGTTTATTTCAAGCATTGGTCGCTTTAAACCATTGTCGGGCAAATTAATAACAGAAAATAAAAGCTTAAAAAGAAAACTAGGACACAACTTTCATTGGAAGATTTACTTCCAATGCTCACTAAAACATTATTCATTTATCATAACTGCCAGTATTTTCCCTAAACAGGAGTATATTGCAAACTCTGCCCTCAGGCACTTTCAAAATAAATTACGTAAGCCTGAAGTTACAGAAAAACAAAGCCAATTAAGATAGTGATAGCTCAGATAACATTACTTTTATAAAATAAATATATTTACAGAAAAGGTGGAGATACCTTTAAGTGGCCTTGGTTAATTCTAGAAGTCATTGTGAAAGACAAAAAATTTTAATGTGCTACTTTCAAAACATCATGCAGATCATTGAGGGTATTTTATAATCTGAAGACGACTTAGGAAAAAATAGCTTTTCTAATGAGATCTTCCATGTCTTCTGCCCTTCACAAACAGGGAAATAGAAGGGAACTAAAGAGGTCTACATATGGTTTGGCAATCAGAATCCACAGATTACTTCATGTTTCTTAGTACAAAATGATACATCAGGGTGAAAAAAACAGTAAATAAATACAGTGAAACAATTAGAGAAAGTCCTCCTTCCTGGAAAGGCCACAACTCATGTGAGAGCACTGAACCATCAGATGTGGGTTTTTTGGCAACACTGGCACACGGGGAGGGTGCTTATTGTATTAGTTGTAGTGACTGTTGAAAGCCATTCAGTACTGAAGATACTGCAAATCATTAAGGGAAGATAAAAATCAGTAATTTTCATCCATCCAAAATTTGCCGATAGTTATTATAGTTTGCCTTTAAAAAGCTACCATGTCCAAAAAGGAGTTACCTGCTGGAAGTACTTGTCGCAGTTAATGTATTCCTTATCATGGGAGTCTTGCAGCTTATTTGTTTTGATGTACTGCCAGAGAGCCTGGATGATGGCTGATCGGGTTTGTGTGTGTATCCCCAGCAAACGGGCTAATCGTGGGTCCAGTTTAAACTGGGGAGGCTGTAACAGAAAGAGAAGGAGATGGAGATGGCAAAAGAGAGAAAAACACACAGATACGCAGCTATGAAGTTTCAGCTTTAATTCTCAGGGGACTCTGTTCCTCAGAAGGACCCCACTCAATGGCAGAGATGGCAAAAATACAGGCTGCTCAGATGTGTACCACTGTCGGTGCTCTGGAAGAACTACATCTAGGGCTTGAAAGTGGGATACTCTACATGTGCTATGCACACAGACTGTATCACATGCTTTAGATAATAACAGCCTGCATGCAGACTCAGGAAAGAATTTTCCTTTTCAACACTAAGGGATGATTTGACTTTAGGGAGTGGGAGAAGAAAAAGAATGGTCCTTCTTCTGAACTACTGTAGGTTAACCACAGACAGAGAATGAAGTCAGGAGGATGCTTCTACTGTTGCTAATAAGTGCTCAGCTGCCTCACATCAACAAAGTACCCTGGAACTCTGTTTTTCAGGCATGTTCCTGTCATTCTGCTGCATACCAGAAAATTTACACAATCACAACTAGTCAATGGAATATATTTCTCCTCCTGACCTCTGTGATAAAACTCTTCAACTACTCTGTTCTGCATCTCTAGTAATATGTATTCCTTGAATACCTTGGAATTTGATGCCTCTTCAAGTGTGTACCCATACTCAAGTTTAACATTTGCCACATTATTAGGCAAGGATTACTCTGCTGGATGCTAGGTCAGCCAAAGCTAACTTTATAACAAATCAAGACTTAAGGATAAGAGAACATCTGTTTTAAAGTATAAACTTGTAATAATGGTGAGCATAACAAACATTATATTGTCTTAACAATAAAGATTCTCACTGGCTATATCAGAATTTCACTTAGCTCATACACTCCCTAAAATTACTAAAATTTTCTCTCTGTTAACATAAAATGGAGCATCTTATCCTGGATACATGCTATTTGTATGGAGGGGAAAGGGAATGGCACAGAAAGAGTTCTTAAAGTTATGCAATCAAAATGTATCTGAGATTGAACTGCCATTGAAAAGGCAGCTCCCATCTCCTCTCAGCAGTGCATTTCTATCAATTTCCTACAGACAGCAACATTGTTTTCAGGGATGGTTTCACATAGATTAGTGAGCTCCACAACTGCAAATCTCCATCGTTTGTGCCAAGAGAATGGAGACTGTGGCAGCACACATCTACAACTAAAATCAAAGTGTTTTTTTGGAGGAGTTTAGCCTTAAAACATCTTAAAACAGTTTGAAACTGTGCCCAGGAACCTTTTTTATATTCTATCCCAAAGCAGAAAAACCTAATTTTGCCTTTTTTGTTTGTTTCCTGTGACTGGGATCAGGGAACTGATTTGGAAGTAAGTTTTGTTAGCTTTCAAATGGATCAGTTCCCTGAGTTGTTTGCGTTCAGCCCACAAATACTACTAGTACAACA